AGATAAGTTAATTTCAAATCTCAAGTTTCATTCAGCTTATATTGAAATAGGCTGATCAAAAGTAAGACGGATTACCAAAAAGCCCAGCGTCCACCTGGCTGTCAGTGATTTAGGACAGCTTCCTGTTGGTCAACCTTTTAACTAGCAAGTATTTTGGCAAAAAATGGCTCGCAAGCTAGGTGGGATTGACTTATAAATTAGCTAATAAGCCAGCAATGACCATTCCAGTCTCCCTTGCCTTTGTCGGTAATGCTATCCCGCCCATGATAACAGCCGCCGTGTGGCTGTTGGTAGGGTTCGAGAGTGGGTCCTAAGGCACAACGGGACAGGTATGTACCCTAACGCGGCCAATGAGCGCTCCGCTAACGCTGGCACTGTAGCCGAGCTCAAATGACAAGACACCGAACCCGTGGTTCATTGGGTAGGGCGTCAGACTTCTAGCCAACGGGTCGCAGATTCGAGCTCCAGGGGTTGTATCGCAGGGGGTTAAGTAAGTTAACCCCTAGTAACTACGATCTTCAGACCATGGTTCCTTAGGAGAGAAGAGAAGTCGGTGGAGGCCAGAATAGTAGGAATAGTTTATTGTTTACACAGAGGAACGAAGAATAGGCAGGAGGAAGATTGACTGCGGAGAGCAGGTGCTTCCGCCGGAGCAGCGTGATCCGAAGTGCGGTCTAGTTGCAGGAATCCCCGGCGGCCCAGAGAGAGAGAGCGTTCACGCGTGCGGACTTGCTATTTGTCGCCGGGCCAGAAAACAACTTTGCGGTAACTGTGACTGGCTGTTCCCAGACTTCGAGACCAGCGTCTGTAGGCCTTCGGGAAAGTGCACTTCGACGCGAGCTAGTCACTACAGTTGCAACAACTGGGGTCGGTATGACTGGCTGATGACGTCTAATAAGCTAGAAACGGCCATTCCAGTCTCCGTTATCTTTGATGGTCATGGTATACTGCAGTTGGCAATGCCTCGGATGTTTGCTCTGACTACAAAGAACGCAGCTCATTCTCGTGTTTACCAAGTCGTTGTCAGAGTATTTAAAACGAAGGACGAGGATGAGGATGAGGAGGAGGAGGAGGAGGAGAAGGAGGAGGGGAAAGGGGAGAAAGTAGAACACAGGAGAACGAATAAGTCTTTCCTTTATTCTTTTGTTGGCAAGTTCATGTTGCTGAAGAACGAGCTTAATAGGCACGCAGCTGTCGATCCAAGACCTGGAGTTAGGAATAGTGCTTTGCTTTACTTCCCCCCCTCCTGAAACGCAGACTTCAAGTTTTCGTTTCTCAGAACAGGCACTAGTTGACATTTAGCTTCGTAAACATAAAAAGCCACTAATCTGTAGTTGCCCTACAAATGTACAAGATGACTAATTTCAGTTTACTTTAATCTTCTTTACAGGCCGGAATTCAAGTTAGAATATACCTAACCTCCTAGCGTGTCATTTTTTGGAACTCAGTATACAAGCGAAACACACCCAACTGAGCTTGTCATTTCAAGCTCAAAGCACTAGCGGTAACTTAGGCTTTCGTACTAGCGAAAGCCAATAGCCATACCCTAAGGTTAGTATGACGTACATCAACGCCTTTCATGTCAATATATACCCGAGATGAACGTGTCGCAGACTTTTCCAATCGGAATCAGCAGTGGCTTTCTCTTTCACACGATAAAAACATTTTTCAGATGTCCTAGCACCTGCTGGGCAAAGGATTCTCCCACTTTATCGTTAAACCCTGCATGCCGGATAACGCGAGTGCTCTTACTCACAACCTAAGCAACTTTTTCGGTGAGTTACAGACTCCCGACGATTAGGCTCTCCTTCACATCTCCCGTCCCTATTAACTTGCCCTGGTACTGTCCGGCTCTTTTGACATCTTGTGGCATTTACTGTTAACCACGAACATTGTTGACTTTCCAGTGAGCAGTTTCTTTAGGTGGCTGAGTACGGGACACTTCTGTCGTTGCCACGTGACCATCTCGCATCAATGGCAGACAGTTTTGCGCCTATACTACCACCAAAAGGCAGGGCACTCAACGTATTCAGTCAGTATTTAACCTGAGTTTATTGGACCGCTAGTGCAAGTGGTTACGGATACTGGACATTATCGGCCGAGCAAACACCCCCGTGCCTTTCTCCAATACCATTTTATCTCCTTCTAGTGTCGAAAAGGGAGAAGTCAATTCCGCAAAAAGTTTTCCCATTCGTGCCAGTCAACTTCCTACAGGATGAACCGCAGGAACACACGATGCAAGTAAGATGACACATAAAGCAAGCTTTCCCATATCTTCTTCATGGACCAAGATGTTAGCAATAGTCGCGACCGGAACTGAGTAAGTTCTATCGCCGATGTTGTGCTTGAAATTTCCTTCGTTCCGTCCACCGGGGACAATTTTCGGCGAGCCAAGCCGACTGGCGCCTGTTGAATATAGTCATAGTGCGGCTTCTTGCGTAATCTGCCGGGAGGGGGGGGGCAGGACTAGGTAATAAATATTTGTGCTCACCGCGCCGGTCCCGAGGTTCGCGTGGGCGTCTGTAGAATCCTCCTGGCTGTCTATTGAGTGGCATCGGGCTATCAAAATACCCGTGGCAGGTCGAGCTTACAAGAGTGGGGGTGAGGGAAGTTAGCTTCGGCAATTAAATCTCCCAGCCTCAGCCACCTTTATGACTTAAAGCCATGTGATCAGTTAGCGGCAAACAGATAGATGTTATATCCCCTGATCATAGTTTTCCATGTCGTCCTCCCCCGATTTATGAAGGGTCTACTCTACACAAGATGGGCTGCCCATATAAATGTTGTTATTCTGCAAGGGGTTATTGGCACAGTTGAGGGGCCCTGGGATGACCACTTTTCGTTTCTTTACCCTCGCCGTCACCGTCACCGCCACCGTCACCAACATCCACGTCCATCACCAACTTCAGGCCGAAAATACCTCATTTTTAAACTCAGGCCCAGTTAGTCACTGAGCGGTGTACCTCATCAGTTCGCACAAGGGCCCAATGACAGTCAGCTGCCAGCAGTACTGTCCAAAGGGACTTGAGAATAGCGTTCATCAGTCTGACACAGTTGTGGGACAATCAGTAAACGCCGTGCCTTGCCGGGGACGTCTGTCTTCAATCCGCGCAGCCATGAGCGATAAGCAATCGATAAATTGTATGCTAAAAAATAGGCGTATTTACCAACTACGCACTTTGCCTGGACCAACTTCTTTTCAGCTATACCTACCCTACTATATTCCCCGGGATCTGTGGCCGACTACTACCACTGAACCTGTCACTGGCTTTCCTCCCGGATTAAACAATTCAAAGTCTCGTAACTGCTGCACAAAGGCTCCTGCCACAAAGCAATTTTACCTTGTCTCAGACCAGCTGACCTGCAGCCTCACAGCTGACCTCTAGTCGGACACACGAACGTCTAGACAGTCTCAGTCATCCACGCCCCACCTCAACACTCCACCCCTCGGATAGTGTACAACAGATGCGAGTTGGTACCCAGAGGCTCGACCTCGTTCTCACGCAGCCGACAGCATGGTTTCAGCTTCCGTCAGGCCTAACTGAACACTGATAGAAGTGAACAGGCGAGTTCCAGGAATCAGTTAAGAATTGGAAGATGCGATCGCTGGAAGCGGAAGTCTATTTGCCTGACGTTTCAGATGCTGGCTTGAACCCATCACCAGAGATAATCGCAGGATAGGAAAATAAATACACAGCTTATGCAATCTGCTGCGGACTATGAATACTACGTAATCTGTGCATTTATCACCATAGTCTGCGGTTATCTTTGACGAGGAGTTCAAGCCAGAAGCAAATAAACTTATCGTTCCAGCATCTCCTACTTCTAACTGAACACTACTGAAACACGTCAGTTTGGCCGTCGATTCCGTCGATGTCCATCGTGTGTCACGGCATGGTGGTGCGGGACGGTGACTTACGCCTGGATTCGTTTTAAATGATAGGAAACTTGATTTGCGTCTGTTGCATTCTCTCTTCCCTCATCCGCCTGCGCCTTAGTCTTAGTCATCCACGCCCCACTCCAACACTCCAGCCCTCCTATAATGTACAACATATGGCAGCTCAGGCACACAGGCTCCACCTAGCTCTCACACAACCGACGCCATGGTTTCAACTTCCGTTAGGTCTAACTGAACACTGGTAGGAGAAAACAGACGAGTTCCAGGAAGCAGTTCAGAAGTAGAAGATACAATCGCTGGAACAAGAAGTTTATTGGGCTGACGCTTCGGATTCGGGCTTAAACCCACCTTCAGAGATAATCGCAGAATAGGGTAGTAAAGGCACAGATTATGCAGTCCGCTACGGACTATAAATGCTACATAATCTATGCATGTATCACCGTATTCTGCCGTCATCTCTGATGATGGGTTCAAGCTATAATCCGAAA